TTTATTCTGTTTTGTTTTGTTTTGTTTGGGACAGGGTCTCACTATGTAGTTTAGACTGGTCTTAAACTCACTAGGTAGCCCAGACTGGCCTCAAACTTACAGTCATCATCCTGCCTCAGCCTCATGAGTGCTGGGATTATAGATATCCACCACCATGCCTAGTCACCTACTGAAATTGGAATTACATATAATTTTTAGGTGTCACAAAACTTTTTCCTTCTTCTGGTATCTTTTGAGCCATTTAATGTGAAAATCATTCTTGGTTCACGTACAAAAGCTGGCGGCAGACTGAGTTTGTTTCTTTGGGCTAAAGTTTGCCAACTCCTACTTTAGGTGGTTAAATCTACTGGTTGAGAAAAGTCTGCTTTGGCAATATATTCTTGAATTCCTCCAAAACCACATCTATCATACCATCCAAAGTTCTCAGTGATCTCAACTTATGGCTGATAACAAATGTTAAAAAACATTTCCACACTGCCTGTTGTAAAACTGTACTTGTCACTGTTGTGATGATATAGTGTGATATAATAGGAATGGGTGGATAAGGAAAACAGACCGTAGTCTGGTTCAACCACTTGTCAAGGGCTCGAGTTTCTCAGACCTCCGAGGCTCCTATCTCCTCACCTGCTCATTGTGAAGGGGTGTTAAGAGGCTGTGTAGCTATAATAGTAGGTATGAAGTTATCGCTAAGGTTGCGGTTGGCTTTCACTTTTATTGCCATTGTGGTTGCACTTTATTTTTTAATTAAAAATAATGTACTTTGTTGTGATCAGCTTTCTTCTACTTAACACTATCTTCTCTATTTAACCCTTTGTTTATGGTATACACAAGTAGACGTATCTATGATGCTTACAGATGGGTTTAATTTTGCGAATTGGTTGCACTTTATTATTGCTTTTACATTTGATGTCTGGCCTGGCTGCATGTATTTAGTGATACATTGTTCTTGAAGTCTATGCACAGGTTAAGGCCATGCATATGTTGACGGATCACTGTTGAAGTCTATATGTAGGCTAAGAATTGCACATAAATTTCCCTTAGGCATTTTGCCTTCATTATTCTCACACTTTATACAACTATTTCACAGTAATAGAAGTACCTGGTTTATTACTAGTAATACTATGAATATTCTCATCTTATATTGTATATATACCTTATCACTGCTGTATGAAGCACAGACTTTCTGTATTGTCCTTGCTGTACCCCAGCTTCCAAAACAGTTGGAATTTAACTCTCATAAATAGTTTCTGAGCAAATCAGTGATACAAATAATCCCATGTATTCACTTGACTTGCATATTACAGGGAATATAAAAAGGTCATGATAAGTAAAACGTTTTAAATATATAAATTAAACACAGTATTACAGAGAAAATCTGCTTTAACTTTGCTAAGAACCTCAAAAGACTATGGACCTTATTTTTTGAAAACAAAAAAACTTACTACTATGAAGAGATATACCATAAATAACTCTCAGGTGCAAAAATTAATTTTCTAGGATGTAAAATAAATGCAACCCTTTTTTGAGCTCTATGAAATCCTTTCCTTATACTCTTAAAATGTACAGAAGCACTTGATTTTTAAGCCTATTTTAGTAAACTTTCTTTTGATTGCAACAAGAACAGATTTGAATCAGATTATACAGAAAGAAAGCTTTCTGGTAAACTACTGGCATTCTTGTGGAACTGACGGGTGCGGGGGGCACTGATAGATCTGGAGACATCAGCTTTCTCCAAAGTGAAAGCATTGATGGAAGCTCCCAAGTATTGGGTCCAAACATAAAAACACTATTACAGAAGCCTGATGTCCTGAATCGTAGCTTCATGCCTGAATTGGGGAGCTGGGGCTGGGAGTGGAATCGTAACAGAGCTGTCAGCGTTGAGGGCCACTGTTCAGCATCTAGTTGAGCTGAGAAGCAACCTCATGATACAGCTTTTTATCTACACCTGTAAGTCTGACTCCAGAAAACAATGTGCTTTTTGTAATCTTCCTTAATTTCTCAAGATAAAAATTTCATCCCAAACTGCAAGGGACCTTTGTCCATTGAAAACTACATAGATTTTATTTATGTAATTTAATATTCAACCACTGGCATAGTAATAAACTGTTTAGTATCATGTAATATACAAAGTATAGTGCAGTGGCACTATTTGGTAATAGAGAAATTGAACATATGGGCTCTTGAGCCAGACTTGCATGGGCTTCGTTTCCAGTTCTGTGCGGGGTACCCAATCTCTGCCATGCATTTTCATTGTCTGTAAAAATGGAAGGGTTTCTACAAGATGAACCACCAAAAATCTTGTTGGCATACCACAGGAAATCTTTGCTCTTGCTCGGGCATTTGCCTGTCAGCTGGAGTAGGTCTAGTGCAGGATGGGCTCAGCTGAATTTGGTTTCAGAAGGAGGATAGGGCTAGGTATATACTAATTCCTGTCATCTTCTTTGGACCAAAAGATACCTGAGACTTTTTTTTTTTTTCTCAAATTGGTACAGAACAAGCTCAACTATATAAGCACATCTCAGGGCTTTTCCCCGCTGTGATATCACCTATTATTTTATTGGCCAAAGGAAGTCAAATTGCCAAGACCAAGTTAAAGCATGGAGAGGTGTACATTTTCTGATGGACATTGTAGGTGGAAGAATAGTAACCTAATCTACCACAGGCACAGCGGGTAATACTAGTACCAAATAGAATTGTTGTTATAATATACGTAAATGCCTAAATAGTTGCTGGCACATAGCACATGCTCAATAAATGTTATTTTAGGCATATTTTTATGTAAAATACACAAAATTTCACTGTTGTAAGGCTGTAACATAACAAACACTTGGCAAATATATCCTTTCATTGGAACCAAACATGCATAAGTTTTATTAAAAAGTTAGTCTCTATTGTTTTAATTGTAGAAGCAGTACATAAGATTATATATCTTTCAGACTGATTAACCAACCTCTGAGTGGTCAGATTGGGTATTGCCCACAATTATCTAATTGTTAGAACTCCTACAGATCATCAAATTCTACTCTCTCATTTTATAGGTAATGAATTAAGCCAAATAGTGAGATGTCTAAGTCAAAGAGAGAGTTGGATGAATGGAGAATGGATAGATGAGTGACAGAGAAGTAGCTGAATAGAAAGGAATACAAAGGAGCATACCTAGTTCTCTAGAAGTTTAAAGACCTCTGCAGAACTCTTCACACTCTGTCACACAGCCCCGGGATTGCTTTCTACACTTTTATGTAAATACTCTATTATTTTTTCCTGTCTGTCTGCCTTCCAGTGAACCATAAAAAAGAGTTATAAAAAGCTTTTAAGAGTTTTTTAAAACTGTTTTCCCCTAGCCATTTAAGAACAAATTCAAAGAGATGTCTGTACAATAGGATTTGTTTAAAATGCAAAACTGTGAAACCTGATCCCTACAGAAGTCTTCATCCACTTAAGTCAGTGTTATTGAGTATAGTTATCTGTTAGGATTGGCCTTCAGAACTCAAATTTCTGTTGAGTATATATTCTATGGGTAGATTGCCAATTATCAAATTATCATGTATTACTTTATCTACATTTCCAAAATCGAAAAGCTCTGAAAACCAAAACTTTGCCAAAACTTTGCTTCATAAAGCGCTAGATCCTAGCCCTAATCTTACATCTTACTTACAGTCTATAAGGCTACTTACAATCATTTAAAAAATCCTACTTGGAATAAAAATATGTTAGCTACAGCGATAGTACTATATTTGGTTTTAATGTACTGTCCCAGACTTCCTGGACAGAGGCTGGGAGGATGTTAAATAATTACAGTACGTGAACTGTATAATAACCTTTTAAAGTCAAAAAAAATTAATTCTGAAACCCATCTGGCCTCTAAAGAAACCCTGGAACTACAGAACCTGTAGGAATGATAAGTCCTATGAATGGAAACGAAGCACATATTGATAGAGATGAAGGCCAGTGGGGGGGAGGATAAATGTTGGAGGAGGTCGTTTAGTTAGAACGATGAGGGAAGTCTCTGCTAGCTTCTCATTCAAGAAGCCTGCCATGGGCCGCTTAAGGAAAAAGAGTGTGTAAGGGACAGGGAACAAATGCGGCTAACTGGGGAACTGTTCGGAGTCTGAGGGAAGACCGCATCAAAGCTCTAAACCAAAAGAATGTTTAGCGCATTTGAGGAAGAACATGAAGGGCACTAGGCTGTGATGCCCCAAGCATTGAAGGAGTGATTGGATAGGCTGCCAGCAAGGAACTGGGAGATCAGACGTTTCAGGCAAATATAAAGCCTTTGGCTCTATCATAAATGTTTGGGGGATTTTGACAGTAAAGCACTTTAATCCTACTTTCCTTCTACAGAGCCTCACTTTGTTGCTCCATGAATACTAAACTATCGTTCTTGTGCTGTGTATGTAGTAGGTCATTGCACTAAGAAGAATTAGGGAAAAAATGATCATTAGTCTGCATGAAATTGAGAAATTGAATGGTGACCAGTCATAAAAATGCTTTTTAAAAATAACATCTTAGGTATCCATTAAACAAGTGTTTTGCTGTATACCAGCAATCTAAGTATTAAGGTTTTCATTTCTCCTTCTAAAATTCTCTAGTCTTAGAGAAGTTAGCTTGGTGTTTTAATGCTCTTCCCAGCCCTCCCACTCTGTCCTCAAAGACTCTTCTGTTGAGAGACAGAGGAAAGAACCTCTGAGTTTGGAACAGTAACTGGTTTCTCGGGCTGAGTCTGCCATGAACTCACTATAATATTGGTTGAGTTCCTTGACCTCTCTGGATTTGTTTCCCATAGTGCAAAATATGGAAATTGAACTGCATGATTGGTACAGCTCTTTCTTTTTTAATGTGTTGTCAAAAATATAGTAAGTCATTTGTGTTGGACTTTAACATGTGATTCTAAATGAGATTTCATAAAAGCCTCAAATTTTTTTTAAATAGGAATCGAAGAGAACCTATTGAATAATTGGCTGTCAGTTCAAAACTGGTAAACTATCCTTGTTTCCTTTCAGCAGGACCGAGTAAATACCAGAAACCAACAGCACAGACTATTTTTCATCAGTCCACAGAATCCTAATACTTCTGTAACTCCATCAAACACAGAGGAATGACCGCCTTGGCAGATGGCCACAGAGGATGTCAACAATTTTTTGGAGGCAAGTTATAAAATATTTGTGTCACAAGCCTTCTGTTATTAACTATGTAGAAACAGGTAGAATTATCTTAGGTTCCAAAGAGTAAAATCTCTAGTGAAATCTATAGTTATAGGCATAACTATTTCTATCGTTTTTTTCTTTTTAGCACTGTTGAATGTCAGAAATTACATTAAGATGCTTTGCCCTTTCCTAGAGTATTATACAGAACAAGGCAACATTAAATCTCTAATAAAAATTGAGGATTTAAAAAACAGGAGCTAAGTGAATATAGTTGAAAATAAAAGTTGTTTGTGTCTATGTGCATATCATATAAGTGCAAAATAGTAAATATATTTAGAGAATAAATTATTTTCCATTTATCTTAGCATTATCTGTGCTAAGTGTTTTTGTTGTTTCAATAATTCCAGCATTTTTCCCAGATTTTTTTTAATGAAATCTGTTAATACAGGAGACTCATAAAATATAAGGTTATGAAGCATATAAAAGGTTCTCATCCCAATATTTTGGAACACATTAGATTTCATTGAATTTTTAGTTAAATTCATGGCAGCTACTATTGCTTCTGGAAGAATCATTGGACAAGGGTTATGGACTACAATTTAAATGAATTATAATACCTCTTAAAATGAAAGTTTTCTTAGAAAGAAGTTGGCCATAACTGAAGAAAAAAATCATAAGAAATCTGCCGTCTGTGCCACATTCATGAAAAGGACTTATGTAGAGAGAAACAAAGTAAAATATAAACTTAAAAATATAAGTAGAGCACACTAAAACTGAATTTTTAAAAGGATTTTATACAAGTACAGAAATGGTAGATATGCTCAGAATTTTTTTGTTAGTGTTAATTCAACTCAAGCCTAAGGTCATTCAGCAATCATGACTGCTTTTCAAGTTGTACGTGGAAGAATGCTCTCAGAAGTAAAGGAGACCATAAATGTTTAAAAAGCCCAGTGTGTAGCTTCAGAGTTATTTTTCAGTATCTAGAATCAAACTTAATTCTTGCTTTTCTGTTGGAGAAAATTTTGTCTAATTACTTTCAATTTATTCTGCAACATTTTGGGCAGCAAATCCTGATCACCAAAGAAAAAGCAGCTGTGTTGCCCTGGCCTCACAGTTATGCCCGCAGTGTTACTGTGCAGTGCCTGGGCTTTGTCACGTCGTGAAGTGCTTATCCACTTGCTGCCTCCCGACCAGCGCCTCACCTTTCTGACCTGCTGATGATCTATGCCCTCTATTTTTGTCTTCAAAAAAACAGACTCCACTGCATCCTTCAGCAATCCAATTTAATGTAACAGGTCTCAGAAGCAGGAAATTCTTTACTTTTTATGTGCTTTTATTACATACCTTTCTAAAACTTCTTTCCTCAGAATTATACTTTTAAACATTTTTTGAATGTTTTCTTAGTTTGCATAACCACTTAACTATAGTACAAGGGATTGAACCCAGTGCCTTCCTCTATACTATGGTCCCAGCTGTCTCAGCCCCTGACCTTTTTCTTTTTTTGAGACAGTCTTACTAAGTTGCCTAGGCTGGCTGGAACTTGAAGTCCTATTGCCTCAGCCTCCCAGAGTGCTTGGATTACATGCATGCACCACTGCATGCAGCTTTAACAATACTTAAAATTACTAAAATTTTAACTACTTTTCAGTTACTAGAACTGGTTCCCATAAACCGTGCTTCTGCAAATTATCAAATTTCTTCAAATTCACTTTTCTGACATTTCCTTTCTGACTCATCCACATTGCATATCTTATTTTGAATTGTTATTTTTTAAACAACCGCATCTCTTCGAAGGTTAATTTCTATTTGTTCCACATTATGAAGAACCAGGCCTTATGTTCTTTTATTAATTTCATTCTATATGATTAGTCATTGATAAGCCACAATATTTATATTTCTGATACAAAGTGCTATTTCATTTATTTCCCACAGTTTCAGCATTATTTGAAAGTGATAGTAATCTTTTAGAAACTTTTGAAGGGAAAGAAAGGCAGTAGAACTGAGCGGGTATGATTTATAAGCCTGGTATCCAAGAACAGAAATTCATAGAAGATTAAGACTAACTGATTAAGCACAGCTGTGCCATTTACTAGCTATGTGAGCGTGGGTGAATTAACCCTTGGATCTCCAGTTGTGTATCTTTAAATTTTGAGTGCCAATAATAATGTAATTTTGATAATTAAACTGATGCATAAGTAAAATGCCTAGACTTTTAGGTATTATCTTTTCCTCTGCTTTTGCCAAATGATTAAAAACAAGTTTCCTCATAGTAAGTTCAGCTCATCTAAAGAATAATGAATTTGTCAATATTCATGCCAGATTTGTTTTACCTCCTCTGTCTGTTCTGCTAGAAAATTTTGTTTAAATTGAAGTGTCCCTACAGATTTAAAGTTCCTGTTCAAAACTGTAGAAATGCAAGTTATCCAGAAATCATCATTAAAAAAGTTGTACCAATAGATGCTAAAGTAATCTTGTAAAAACTAAATTCATTCCAAATTTTATAAGAAATTGTTGTGTCTACAGATTCACTAAAATTTTAACTTTATATTCAGCAGTATTGGGGACACGTTCCATTAACAGGAAGGAGTGATTTGAGGAAATCTTGTTGAGTAATGTCTTTTATGTGTACATTAGTAAGATCTGTATTTAGTCTGATGCACACACTAAAAAATAAAAGTAAGCAGGCAGTTTTGTTCTCTGTATTGGCTTCCTAGCTTGTTATAACAAGTTACACAGCCTTGATGACTTAGCAGAAATGATTCTCTCACCGTGGAGAAGTTAGAAGTCCAAAACTCAGTTGTCAGCAAAGAACACATGCCTTGACACCCGGAGAGCAGAGCTGTCCTGTGCCTCTCACTTAGGCCCTGGGGTTCTCGGCCCATTGTGAGACCCCACCCCCCGTGTGTGCGCCTCTCCACTTCTCAGAGGGACCCTGTGGCATCGGGCCAGGGCCCACCCTCATTCCGGGTCACTTCTCAACTTGCTCAGGTCTACAGCAGAAAAGCAAGTCACATGCATAGCTACTGTGGATTAGGACTTCAATACAGCTTTTGGGAGAACGTAGTTCAATCCATAACACCATCTTATTTTTTTAAACTGAAAATAAGGAAGGAAGAAGAATTTTTGAAATAGAAAATGTCCTAGTTTTCAGCCTCTGGAAAGAGACTGCTTAATTTATAACCAGACATGAGTAAACACTTAATTTTTTTATTTTTATTTTTATTAGTATGTATTTGCTGTACATAATGATCACATTAATCATAGGAAAGTTGTACCTGTACATAATATGTCTTAATTCCTCTTTTTTGCCCTCTTCTCCCTTTGACCATTTCCCAATGCCCTCTGCCCATTTCCCTCTTCTCCCTTTGACCCTTCTTCCCTTCCCATTTACAAAACCTTTGTGTCCATTTTTCCCCTTCCATTCTGATTTTTTATAGATCCCTTTTTTCTCTCTTCCCTTCCCCTCCTCCCTCCTTTGCTCCCCTTCCCATTTGAATATGTCCTTCCTGCTTCCCAATATCTATCCTCTGCTTTGCTCCTTATTTACCTTTGGGTTTCCCACACAAGAAAAACAATGCAGTATTTATACTGTGTCTAATTTATTTTCACTTAACATTATAGACTAGAGATGCATTCATTTATCTAAAAATGACTGAAGTTTATGCTTCCTTATGGCAGAGTAGTACTCCATTATGCATAAATACCACATTTTGTTTATCTCTTCATCTGTTGATGGACCTATGGACTATTTCCAAGATTTAGCTTTACAAATGGTGCTGCTATAAACATGAGTATGCATATGTCACTGTGGTATGATGCTTTTAACTCATTCAGGAAAATACCTAGAAGGGGCACAGCTGGGTCAAATGGAATGTCTAGATTTAGGTTTTTTGTGGACTCTGTATACTGATTTCTATAGTAGTTGTTCCAATTTATGCTCCTACGAACAATAGAGAAGGTTTCCTTTTTCCCCACGATCTTGCCAGTATTTATTGGTTGACTTCTCCATTCCTTCTGGAGTCATTGACAGTCATTTCTAGAGTGAGAGGGAATCTCATTATTGTTTTAATTTACATCTCTCAAATGACCTGTGATGTTAAACTTTTTTAATATATTTATTTGCTCTTTGTAATTCTTCATCTGAGAAGTGTCTATTCATTTCAGATGCCTATTTTTGGACTGGGTCTTTAAATTTGGGTCTGTCTTAATTACTTTTCTCTCATTGCTGAGACAAAATATCTGATGCCCAGAATTAAGGAAGGAAAGGTTTATTTAGCTCACAGTTTGTGGAGGTTTCAGTCCATACTTGGCTGGCTCCAAGGCAGAGTGGCACATGGCACAGAACAACCATTCATGGCAGACAGCGAAGCAACAAGAGCAAAAGGGAGGAGCAGCAGCAAGCAGTCTAGTTCTCTTTCTTACATATGCAAACTACCCACCGAAGGGCAGGTGTAGCACTCACACCCATAATCCCAGCATTGGATCATGAATCAATCATAAACTCTGAAAGCTCACCCCATCACTGCACAAGGCTTTGGGGGGACACTCAGGCACAAACCATAACAGAGTCCAAAATTTTTTAAGTTATTTGTGTGTTCTAGATGTTAGCCCTTGGTCTGAGGAGTAGCTGGTAAAAACTTTTTTCCCATCCTATGGGTTGTTTCTTCACTCTATCGATGGTTGCTTTCACTGTGTAAAAGCTTTTTAATTTGATGTGACCTCACCTGTTGATTCTTTGTAGTATTTCCTGTGCAATCAAGGATTTGTTCATAAAGTCTTTGCCTACACCTATGTCTTCAAGAGTTTTACCTATTCTATCTTCCAGCAGATTAAGTGTTCCCATTTTTATATTTAGATCTTTGATCTATTTAGATTTTAGTTTAATGCATGGTGAGAAATGTGGGTCTAGAGTCAGTCTCTGGCAACCAGTTTTCACAGTGCCGTGTACTGAAGAGTCTATCTTGTGTCTGTAAGGCACTGACAGTCATTCCTTTT